TTCGCTAATCACAGAGCTCATTGGTGGTCACATCAACTATTGTGTTAAATTTGCCAGTAAGATTCTAGACAACTCTCTTCATCCACTGCATCCCGGATCTATTATCTTATCGTTCCCATTCGTCCACACACTCCTCATTTCGGCATCTACCCTCTCGCATTAAAATTTATAGAAATTCCAGTGTACCCTACCTGGCTCGAATCTTAATCAAAAAGGAACAGGTTGCAAGTGAACTACGTCAACAGCTTTGCGGATGAAACAAATTTCAAGGGCTTTCTTTACCTTTAACTGTGTATTTTATTCCACGGGATGAACATTGTACTTCTAACTGAAATGTAAGCATATAAGCTTACACAAGTTATACAAATAGAAATAGAAATAGACATATCCGATTGGGTATTAACCAAAAAAACTTCAAATTATTTGATCTAATAAACCTCATAGGACCCTGAACAATGATCATATTAAGGACTTATTTTCCATAAAGATTTCGCTTACTGTGATATGTTTGGCATGAGAAATAAGTATATTTATTTGCTGTTGAAAGTTTTGGTCAGCAACTAAAATCTTGGCCTAGTTTATCATAGAACAGCTAATTGATGATAGTTCACTTTCGTTATGACAGGTATCCATAGAAGCATCGTGCGTCCCAGACTGAGATGAACAAGCTGAATGAGGAACTTAGTCAACCGAACTTCCATCCACCTCAGACTACTGTGCTTGTTATTTTCCAAGTATCAGCTGCTGCTCTCCACACGAATTGTTTTCTTACAGGGAAACCGTTGGAACGACACACCAAACAATCAAGTGAACAAACGAACGGGGATTCTCAGTCATTTTATTCAATTCCAATGTAATTCAGAAACTCCCGCAATGAACTAATGTGATGTAGAGGAAACCAGACACATTTTTGGAGCCTCTATTCTGGTGCCCATGAATATGTTAATAAGTTGAGTGTTGTGAGGATTCGTGATTCAGGGGGCGCATTTTATCGCTTCTTATACCGGAATATTTATTTCTCATATTTTTGGTTAAAAGACGCTAATGTCATTTACAAATCCCTAACGCCTTGTTGAGTCTTCCAGTGGCACTGTCGACATTTTGCGTTTGAAACCCTCGAGGACTGTAATCATTCATTCTGCGTGTATAGTGTTACAATCGGATGACCTTTGAGTTGATATTTCTGTACGCGGAGGTCGATCCCGTTCGGGGACGAAGACGGGGGCGGGGGGAGGAGGGTTGTGGGAGTCCGGCGGGGTGGAGAGGTCATCAGTGTTCTTCTTATTTGTTTACACATTGAATCCTACGAGGTATGAGTGAAGATGGCGCTATCGCAATCTATAAACAGAGTATCTCAAAAGCTACGCAATGATTAATATACAGGTTTCCTCATGCGAACACAGCAAATGGGAGTGAGAAATTGTCATACATCTGGAGTGATGAGATATTTTCATACTGGGATACGTTGTTGTTCATAAAAGTGGGAACTCTGCCGCGCGCTTCTCTATTTAATTACCTGGTTGCCAATGAATGACTATCGATGAACAGCGTGCTTCAGTGAAGGTTGAATTTTCATTATTAAAACATTTTCTTGGCAATAATATGATGCTCGCTTTCCACCCAGTTAATGTGAAACAACGGAATTCTACGAAGGGAGTATTGGTGTAAAACGTTGAAAACACGTACTAATTGCGGAGCTTTATCTAATAGTCCAGCACTCAACCAGCCGCATTGGTCATGATAATCTGTATGCAGTAAACGAGTACCGAGCGAACGGGAATACAAAAGTTAGTTCTAGTGAGGTAAACGAAAATCGAATTGACTCTAATTTATTAACCCTTACATATAGTCCGAAGTACATCTACAATGCCGAAGGAATATATGAACTTACAAAACAATAGTAATCAACTCATACATAAACAAACACACAAAAAAACATTTTTACAACTCCAATCTGTCTAAAATTGTGAAATTATTTGGCAGGAAACGTTTCAACTAGACTATTTCTTACACGACCAGTTCCACTATATTGTTAAACCTAATCCTGCACAACTTCTCCGCCTTCATCCTCCAAAAGAGCGGTTCGTTCCAGAATCTCTTAACTAATAAGAATGGCAAATTTAACAATATCCATTTGATTGGTCTCAGGCAACAGACATTGTTGATCCTCTTGGGTGTAGGTTTCACTCCGTGAGATATCGTTAATTCCTCGCCGGTTGAATGCGTTTACAAGCGACTTTCAATAGTGCCTAGTACTTGTAAACAATGGAGTGCATTGTTTTCAATTTGCTATTTTCATCCACCTTAATCATTCGCAAAAACTAATGACCATCATTCTGGTAGCTCAGCGGTGAAGGTTCGAAATCCCAACCCGAATGTTAGCGATTCGAGTCTTAATGGAGACAAAAGGTATGTACTGCTGGCCAATCCCCTTTTGGATTTGTGCCCATGAAAGCATTCGTTCTAAAGCCTATGTAAATAGATTTCTACAGGTTTAACCTCATTCAAGCTTGTACTAAATCAGAGTCAGAAAATCGATACTAACCAGCAGGTGGTTAGGACTTAAATCTAGTTTTCCTTTGTGAGAACCTGATCACTGAGGTCGAGATTCCCCAACATTTCGAGTTACACTGTGGGTGATGAGTCTGTATTTCAGTTCTCCGCTTTTTGAACTTCAGTGAAACGTGTTACCGTAATTTATATGGACACACCTTTGGAAACGAGGACGTGGTATATGCATTGAAGGGGATTTTAAACCAGGCAAATGTTTACATCCCATTAACCCGGGATGATATTGCGAACTGGCTAAATTGAGGGCGGCTTACTTTGTTTCAATTTGTTTTTGCTTGCCTCACTGACCCGATTTGCGTGATGTAACACTTATTTTAACTCCAACTACCCACTTAAATGTGTACTGAGCTTTTGTTCTCCATAGCATGTTCTCATGCACTTGAGCCACATGTTTGGCTGCTCGATGGGAGCAGCCTGCTAGAAATAATTTGCATTGTAAATGTGGAGACTAAAATAATCAATATGATACGAAAAAGTCTGTACACAAACCAACCGACTTAGCCGATATTGATATTTTGAAGAAATAATCTTCGACAATGGGTGTTTCCAGCTTGTGGTCTACAAAACACGTGATCTTCAAAGCGAAGTCATGGTTGTAGCATCCGATCGAAAAGTATTGATGCCTTTCTAAGCTGTTCGTGTGACTTCTTTGGTCAATATGGATGCAGATGGTATCGACATCAACCTCTTTGGTAAACTCCATCGTTCAATTAGATAGCCACATGCAAACAATTCGTAAAGATTCATTCGAAACAGTTACATCGTTTATTTCACTTGTGTTATCAAGTTGATGGGTGAGGGCGAAAGTGAACGATTAGAGATTGGAACAACTTACCGAGGTTAATTACGTCTTGAGTATTTCTGTCACTATTTCAAACAAGCCACCATCTTTCAGGTATACGAAGAATGATTTGTTATTAAAACTGTGCACGCAATTTAGTTGAATAAAAACATTCCCTGCTTCCCAAAATATCTGAAAATCAGACCCTTTTTTCTAAAATTTCTTGATATCGTTCACATTGTTCTATTCACAATGAAGAGGAACTATCTGCTGCATCAAAAATGAGCCGAAGGCAGTAGTATTTCCTGTCTGAAAAGCTGTTATAACTTGATCATTGAATCGACCAGTGAGTTAATACTTATCGTAAAATGCTAGAAGTTATGTATTTCTTTTGCTAAGAATATAGTGTCAAATCAGTACACAACCTACTGGATAATAGATTTGATATTGAAGTCCGTTGCTCCACTCGACGGTAAAATTAAAGCAGATCAATATAAAACGCAGAATCCTTTTTATAGATTTAAATCAATTTGGTGATGTATAAAAACTACTTTTCATTGTACAAAATGATACGCACAAACCGTGCATTACATGTACCGGTAATTATGTTCGGGAATTCTGGAGATTACATCATACTACCAGCCTAATTGTAAATCTCATTGCTACCCTACAACGTTGTTTGCAGAACATACAAACATTGCTTTCCTATCTAATGATACGGTATGAATAAATGTTACAAAAGAATGAGACAAAGAAGTATGTAAATCAGTCAAACGGTATTCCTGGTCTCGCAAAATTGCCTCCGTTTGCTTCTTCAGCAATTTATTATCAGCACTAGTAACTAATTCGTTGACATCAACAATCAGCAAATTACGCACAGAGAATACTATCAGTAATTGCAAACGTTACAAAACAGCTATCATCATTCCTAATTATAACAATCTTGTACGTATCAGCTTTCTGGATGCTTTCGTTTTACGAATTGTTCTGGAATAAATCCCAATTGGTTGTTTCAGGAAAGTATGTTTAATGATATTTAAAAATTTGAATTAGGTGGTTGAAAGCCACGGCTTAGCTGGGATTCATTGTCAGCGGTTGTATAATGCTCATCATGTTGATGGTACATCAATACCGGGGCAGTTTGTTGCGGCATGGGACTACTATGTTTTTGTGTGGCACAGATCGCGTGGTCGCCTGCCTGCCTACCTGTTTGCCATCGTTTGGATTCGCGAAACCGGATGCCGGCCGGCAACATTTGACCAATCAGAATCGTTGGGTCAAGGCAATATGTTATACGATTTTGACGAATCAAGATTAGGCAGGGAGAATGATCGATCGCGTGAGTGAGAGCTATTAGATTGGACAGTCTAACCCGCATGTATGTGAGCAGTGCTTCACATATATTACTCTGTCCGGGTGATTTGTTCTGCTCATACTGGAATACTGATTGCGCACATTGACCCTTTACACGCACTGCGTTATTGCATTCTGTGGCAGTTAGGGTAGAAAAACNGTTCGAATAACTTTCATTGGATAATCGAATATACAGAAGATAATTTGTTTCATCGATGCTGGTGTAGCAAAATTGTGAACGGTTATTTGCCCCGTTGGAGCAGATAGTTTAGGTCACATCTGGCACGAATGGAACATGGCCAAAAAAACTTCCCATCCATTCTCGGATACGCAAAACGCAGACAGTAAACCTTATAACAACTCAATCATGGGAAAAGATTCCTCAACCACACTTGTTTTTGTTCCCCAATGGAATCGAAAACTGGCATCAAACAAATCTGCCGCATCTGGGGGTGGCGGATATGCGTTCTTATCAAGGATCACAGCGATGTCGTCATCCAAACCCGGCTTTCAGACTGAAAGGAAACCAGCTTTGATTATGCGACCTGAGAACACCATGAACAATCGCCTGATACATTCCAATCCCGTTTCTAACGGGCTATTTGCACCCGATCACTGCGGCGTTATTCCACAAGCCAGTGTACGGATACGAAAACGCAAGTCTTGTGCTACGGTATCTCGAAACAGACGTCCTGGAATTCTACTCGGTTTCGGTTCAACCGGGAGACGTGAAGTTCGTAATGAGGAGAATGGTATTAACTCTCCACTTGTTGCGGTCAACGCGTGCAAGAAACGAGTAGAATTTCATAGACAAATGCGATCGGATAGTGTGAAACCCGGTGCACTATTGCCACTGAACTCGCGGCTCACTCAAGATGCTCACCAATTGAAACCATCCACTTTTGATGAAACAGATTCAAATCGTTACCATGTGTTCAGTTACGACCAAGTGAGACGTCTTGACAGCTTACTTCAAACACAATTGTGCATTGCTCCACGTCCTCCTCAATGGGATTATGGCCTCATGCCCGGTATCGGTCCCGAATTGATGCGATGCTATTCGGGTGCTGGACCGTCGTGTCATTCTAACTCGCTTCCAAGTCGTTTTTCAGCCAGCCAGTCTCCAGGGTCACTTGACAGAAATAAATGCACTTCGTGTGTTGCAGATCGCGAATCAGCAACTAAGACGAATACCAAAGAACACGTGATACATCGCCACGAGAGAAATGCGTGCATCGACCCGGGATTCTGCATGCCAATTATAAATGTACAACTAAAACAGCTGATTCGCACCATTAGAGACCGACTATTGGAAGAACAAATAGTTGTAAGGGAGATACGATTGAACGGAGGTGCTGCCGGTTGTGTAATAAGTAAGCGTTCGCCTTGCTAGACTTTATTAGATTTTATTAGAGAACATTCGTCAAGCTTGACACATGCGAAAGCTTACAACAGTTTTTAGGATTCATAAGACACTGAATTAGCGTTCCCAAATAAGCTGTATTTGATGTCACGGTGATATCAGCATATTCCTAAACGATTAAGTACGGTGCAATGTTCCCCACTGTATATTTCCGTGATAAACAGTAAATACTAGTGAAACAAACCTTTGATATATGTACCCAAGCATTGAAAGACGACTGATCTCTTCCATAATCGAGAAAAAAGTAAAAGAAAACAGCAAATTCAGTTTAATGTGAGTAAGATGTACGTAAAACGAATTAACCCATCGATCAAGAACTGCGTAAAGGACTAGCTTTCTTAAATAGCGTACTTTTCTTGTGCTTTGAATTGCCATGATTCAAGGAACCTTCGTGCATCGCGCATACATGTAACCCAGTAATGATAACATCTCATTTGTGATTTTATATATTTTATAGAGTTAAGTTTTGAATGTATTTAGGTTCGGGATCATTTGAGGATTTTCGTTCAAATCCAGTCAATCACCGACTCTTAACCCTTAAAAATTTCGTTAACAGTATTGCTTGATTCACATGTTAATTCATTAGAACATTACCAAGGATTCAACAAATTCGATTTTAGTAGTATAAGAATAAATGTTTATTTCTGCTTTCGACCCCATGAGTTGGAACTTATTCCATAGAAACGTGAAGTTATGCAACGATTCAACGTCCGAGGTACCGGTAATAAGAATAAGGTTCCTGTAATCCGAACAAGAACACGTAACCAATTACATAGAAATGGCAATGGTTGCACAACATGTGAAGAAAAAAATCTGTTGAATGTTTTGATAGGTTGCGTGGCTCTTCTTATTCCAGGTTCCTCTAAGCAAGGAAGGGGAATAACCTGGGTGTCCCCATCCGAAAACTTGGACTAAAAAGCGAAACCTGTAAAAGAACAGGACGGAGTTCAGAGTCTGCAGTTTGGCATCTGGTTCATCGGAGTATATGCCCTTGGATGGGGTGAAACGTCCAGGGTGTCCAGTACAGGTCGATGCCAACTTAAGCCGGTGACCACTGCCACATTCAGGATGGTGTGTGTGTGTGTGTGTGTGTGTGTGTGTGTGTGTGTGTGTGTGAAGTTACTACGTCTCTTTTTGGTAGGTTTTGGACCAGAACTGCTAGTGGCTCACCGACCCGGCTACAGCCTCCGATGTTGGCTTTGGTTCCTTTCAACTTAGTGAGAAAACCCCTCCATCACGGGATCGCAGGGAGTAGCGCTTCCTCTGCAGAGGCTATTTGAGGCGATTGGTCAAATAGAAGTATTTCGAGGGGTGCAAGAGACAGCTGAACGGTCACAATCTGAGACATCCACCCCCACACCATATTGTAGCCTTCGGCGGTAATCTGTACCGGCAGGATACTAAACATTCAATAATTCTCACTTTAATTTACATAGCTCCGATGGTCTCAGCTCAGAATGATTTTCTTCGTAATTCTTTTCTTGTTAGCCGGAGAACGTTTTTGCTGATTCCCGACCCGATATTCATTTACGTCTATCATTTGCCGAATAGTTCACTCCCGTGGCTAAAACACCGGCGCCACACAGAATGTAGGGAACAAAGTGTCACCCTCCGTGGTCAGCACAAAAATAAATTCATTGATTTCATTACACCGTTATCAATTTCTTTTCAAATAGAAATAAGTTATGAAATTCCTCTAACGGATTCCATATTTTTAGTTGTTCTGCTTGGTCGTCGATGCAGGTGAACCGAGGTCGCTCACATTTGCACGAATATTGATGATTTTTGACCGTGTCTCGTCTGGATACCGTATAGTAATCAGTCCCCTACTGTACCCTTTATTGTCTTTGATATTTCCGCCCGGTTTGGGCTTATACAAAATGTTTGCGTGAATGAAGAATGAATGAATCAGCCTTGGCACAGCAGACCAATAAATTGCGCCTGATCGCATTTCTAATTCACTTGGTCCTCGAGAATAGTCAATAGTTTTGTTAGGATACAGATTTTTATGTGTCTAAGCACCAATTTGCACAGCTTACAAACTACTTTATTGGCGGAGATACCGTTAGTATGCGTTTTGGTTGACTTAATCGCGGATTGTGGAAGCTGAAACGTTTCAGATGTTACACGCGTTGAAATATCGGTGCTTGGCAAAGTTCTTATTTCCACGGTAACATTGTGAAGGGATGTTCACTCAACCGAATTTCTTTTCCTACATAGGATGTGGCAAAACTAACTGAACACGATGTCCGTGGTCCTTCTCGTCTGGGAGTTATCAGTCAGTACGAGATTGTACTAAACAAACGTGTGTACTCTTCTTCCTCGTGGGATGATGAATCCTACGAAGTGGAACTTATATGTCACGGGGGTTACCTGAATTTCCTAAATAACTGTTCATTTTTCTGGCTTCGGGAGTACTCGTTTTTAATTTAACGCCAGTGCTTTGGAAGGTAGGAGCAATTAAGCATTTTTGCTTGTATGAATTCCGATTCGATTGCCTAGGACAGGTTCATCCATTTTCACATGTTAGTCTGCAATTGAGTCGGATGAACTTCTTTTTGCTACACTTCAATATTTCCTATGTTAATTTTTGTACTGGAATTTTGACGTCAATCCTTTTCACATCGTAGTTAGTCCAACAGTCCACCAGACAAACACATTCAGAGCACCACGCACACATGATACGATTCCGCGTTGTACATTGAAATCAAATATAACAGATATTACTTTTTGACTCTATTGTAAATCACCGCCACATAATAGGGTGTATGAACTTGTGTTTTGCTATTGTTTGAGACTGTTGATGTGCCATATTGCACAATGAAACAAACAGCATCCAGCATCGGATAGGGAATATACCACGAACCCACAACGGCTGTCATATTTAATTCAACCTCCGGGCCAAATATTGCATCGGAGTAAACTGGATTCATGATTGATCACGTGATAAGAATAGCACCAATCCGAGTGATTAGGTCATGACATTCTACAGTTCAGCACCTGATTGGGTGAAACGTGGTGTAGTGCAACCAAATACTGAAGATGCATTCCACTGACCGCAATTCCTGTTTGTGTATTTTTTTAAACTGTATTTTCTGGCCGAAATCCGGGTAGCTTGGTTCTCATTCTAACCGTTTTTCACGTCTCCGCCAAATGTTCCCCAAGATCGGTCTGTTGCAGTACAACGTTCGAAAGCTCTACATGCATGTGAACAACCTTAGGTCCAATGGCTTTTGGCAAAATCAATGTGGGTGTATGGATTGCTGTCCGAAATCGTATCAAACTAGAAATGTGAACAGTTAAAACTTCATCTACGGTTCATCACATTTTATGTTGCTAAAGTGAAAAGAAACATTTTTACCGCCGGTAAAAGTAGTATACATGTCTCAAAAATCAGCTGAACGAAAGTGATCATTTGAATTGCTGTTAACGTTTTGGTATTTCAAAGTCAAGTTTTAAAAATCGAATGCTATCCAGCCAAAGTCATTTATCAATATAAAACTATCTGATGCGTCTTAGTGAAATTTATATTTAGCATAAAATGAGATTTCATAATATATTGAGGGTTTTACATTAAGATTTTTGAATTTATGGTCATTTTTAAGTGTTGCTCGCTTTGGCTGAACGACAACTTTTAGAGATCATTATTTTTCGCTGAGTTATATTTTGTGTCTGGTTTTTTGCTCTCTTAGGTCTCGAAGAACAAGACAACTACAGTGATTTGGATATCATATTCAGCGTGGATTTATCCAATTCTGTCACCTTCACCAAAATAAAGTCAGTGGTCTTTTCAAGCATCGCTCAGTTTCTGGCGGATACGTTTGCGTGTGGTAATTTAGTTTATAGCTGCACACAACCTTCTTCGGTATCCACCAATGCCTCACAGGCAGGAAGTAATGCTTCAGCTCCATCGTGCGCCAAAACTGGGAATACGGCTGCCAACGCAACTAGGACAGGCTTCAACATGAACAACAGTTCCCCAAAGTCCAGCCCGTTCCCCACAGGTAACACACTCTCTTCAAACTTTGCACCAGGTGACCATTCCGCTGCAGCTGTGTCAATGAACGCAGCCGATATGTTACCGGAAGTGAACCGGTCTTCACCTAGCGCAGCTGCTGAACCGAATTCCGAAACCCACTCAACCAGTTCTCCATTGGACACAAATCGCCCACGGACTCGTTCTAGTCACTCTTTTACGTCACATACGGAAGCCGGAACTTTGCCATCTACGTTGCCAACCTCAACACGTTCCTATACGACCTCTCGTATTGCACACAACCGGCGTGCCAGTGAAACCTCCGTTCATTGTCCAGGGTCCACTTTGACGAAATGTGATTCACGAACTTGTGGGAGCGGCAGCGCGAACAGAACTGTTACTGGTGGTGAAACAAATACGGGTAGTAGTAATACAAATGCTGCCATGGCAATGATGATGACTTTTACATCGTGTTTTTTCTCAGCTCCTTTCCACTCCTTACCCTGCCCTCAGAATTGGAGTCGTTTGTTACGGGACGAGTCCTTAGTTAAACAGTACATACAAAAAATGGTGCGTATTCATAAACCTAGTTCAAAGACTGCCGATTCTTGGTCTTTATTCACACTGGGCTATCGAACACTGGACGGTGGAAAAACGGTTGATGTGAAATTTGTGGATCGCATGCAACGACCGTTCGAGTTCACGGTGGACAGCTTCCAAATTGTCCTCGACAGTCTGATGACATTCTACGAGACATCCAGACAGGCCATGGATGAACATTTTTATCCCACGGTTGTGGCCGAATCGGTCGCGGGCAGTTTCGTCGAAGCACTGTCACACTTGAAAGATCGGTTGATTGCCACACCACGACCGGAAGAAATACGTGGGGGCGGATTGTTAAAATATTGCAAATTGTTAGTCGATGGTTATCGACCTTCATCGCATACCGACGTGCTTTCCATGGAACGTTATATGTGTTCCAGATTTTTTATTGATTTCCCGGATATCCTCAGTCAGCATCAACGTTTGACGTATTATTTGGCCAATCATTTCGATAATAATGATGCCACGAAAGCAACCTATCTACAGGTGAGCTTTTTTGTCTCATCCGTGGACTGTAACTATGGTTTAATATTTCAATATTCAGTAACATTATTAGACTAGTGTTAGGGTATAATGAACTCAGTGTAGCACTCTTGCACACGACACACAACTAAACGTCTATGTTGATGGGTTTGCATACTTTCGATCAATAATCTAATCAAAACTGTTGTTTTTGTAGGCACTCGGAAGTAAGATTATTACTGATTCGTTGATGCGGTTGATCAAGTCTTTCATGGTAATAAGCACCCCCAAAGCGTTCATCAGGGTTGATTTCTGTGTGTAAAGAGAACGAGTTGGACCACTTTGATATTATATTGTGTGGTCTATGGGGAATATCAAAGAAACTATATGGTATGAATTAGGTTCAGTTGCTGACATAAAAACAGTGTCCGTATTTGCTGAGTTATAGCCGCGACAAACCACCATTTTAAGGGTCGCTGTCGGCTAATACACATTGCACGCAAAATGACCAGATAATCAATGAATTCGTATTATTTGAAAGGAGCGAGAGGTACATCGGAAGACCAATTTACTGATTCATGCAACGGCGAGCTTGTATATATACATATGTACACATATAGGAGCATCTCTGCGTTACGTCATCTACGCATGTCATAAAGACATTGACTCTCGAAGTATCATCTCGTCATCAAAATAATGGAGTAGCCAAAAGCAATGTTTTCTACCTTAGGGAATGGCAAGGTCTATTATGGGATTTTACAATCGAAAATAATGCGTTTCTTTGATCGCCTTTAACGATTCTTTAAACAAACGTTAGCAATTCGCTATAAGGGTTATCATATCTTGCAAAAAATGTAGTTACATTTTTCATTGAATAATGTGCGAAAGTCATGTATGATGCTCAGATAATAACCCGACTGTTAGTGGTAAGTAATGCTTCCGTGAATCTCAACTTTTGTCCACGCCTGCAACCCCCCCCCCCGGTCCAATATGTTTGCACCGGTTCAATCCAGATATTCATCGTGCTAACTGAAACTGATCAATTTGCACTTCACACAGCCCTGTTTAAGAAAACCAGTCCTCAAATTAAAGTACGCGAAGCATTGTTCTGGCGCGTGCGTACTGCTTTCCTAAAACTAAGCCACTTAGCTGACTGCAACTGTTCTGATACCATCCACTTACGCAATAGAAATGTCATGTTATCCGCATATACCAAAAATCGGTCTGTAATTGTGGTCCCATCCGATTCGCAATGGTCTTTGTCTGTATTGAGGACGTGCACCTGTTGAAGGAACCGTAACGAAAATGAGGAGGAAACTAGGACGGGGAATTGGGGTCCCAGTGGACGAAATTATCAGGGTTGTAATGTTCGGTGATTTTTTTTGTCTTCATAATCTCTTTCGTTAGTAACATTTTGTTGGAAGCAACACAGCGACACTGATGAATAGATCGATTTTCGGAGGAACTGTGGCAAACGAGTTTTTGTGTAAAACCTGGTCTACGAAGAAAGTTCGCATAGTAGAATCCGTGCTATATATCTCGTTAAGTTGAGTAGGATCATTTGCAGTTCTGACACTCTCTCCCGAATTAAGAATCGATTGAACCAATGACACATTCAACTGAGCAACTGCAGGTAATGACAATGTTCATTAGACAATGAAACATTTTTCCAAAACCTTTAAAGGATCTTTAAAATCCCTTAAGTTAGGAGCCGTTTATAATGAGGAATGAGCAACGATATAATGCCTGAGATCAGAGCACGAATTCTAAGAAGTTGAGTTAAACGAAAGAAGCAATAATAATTTGTTATTCAATCCAGCGTTGCTGCTGCTGCTGCTGCTGCTGCTGCTGCTGCTGCTGCTGCTGCTGCTGCTGCTGCTGCTGTATAGGAAATTCATTCCTCTAGAATGACCTAATGAAAACATCAGGTCACGTATGTGAATTATCCTAAGTAGTATAATGTGTTTTCCGTATTTTCCTGACTAGATAAATTAATCCATCCAGGAATATGATAGGTATATTTGTTTTTGTGGATTGCAAAATCTGGACACACTCGTACGATATTTCGGGCTGCCAGAAACGACAAGTGCATTGGGCTAGAGAAACTTTTGTTTTTATACAACCGTCGAATGGAGCAATCTCCAGGTGTCATTTCAGCGCCACTTACGTGTTGTCAAATGAATTGCAACACGTTTTACCTATGAACTCAATGTATGTATATGTGTCCCAGAGTCGTCATAAGCGGTTTTGTTCCCAATTCGCACGTTTTCTTACCCTCGTTCTATGTATATGTTGGTTGGTTGGAAGTAACCTGGAGAACAAAAGCAGCGTGCTGATGTCACAGCACAAAACTGTTCCGATGGAAATGTGCTTCGGATGTTGATGGATCGGGGTTCATCGCCGCAATCGTTTTGAACTAATCTGTCGTATTTAACCCAGTTTGATTACCAGTTGTGGTGTACCTAAAAAAATGGGCCGCATTCATTGCGTTCGGAAGTGGCACAAACAAACATCAATACGTTGCACATTGACCTTATCAAGTTACATTTGTGTAAACTCCAGATTTTAAGTTCTTATCGTGCGAATGTACAACTTTTATCCGTCTCACTTAAGTGATTTGCTGTATTCAGTTCTTTTGGCTATAAATAACCTATCCCGATAGCTTGTATTTTAAATTTTAAAATAGAATAGAATAATTTATTTGACGGGGCACATTTCACTTGTTTCGAAACATTGTTACACTAAATCAAGTTTTCCACGAAAATCAATATAATGAGGTGAAAGTAAACAGCAAATGTGTACAGTATCCAATAAAAGCAACGTCCGCAGCTATCCTTAAACATTCATAGAACGTGATGAATAACCCAGTAATGATTTTTGATTCCCACATAACCATAAATTGGTTTTTGTGGTGCACCATGAAAATCAAGATTGATCTTAAAAGCTATGATGCGCTGGACATCTGTTTTGACATATGTGGCTCCCCTCAGCTGTACAAATTTATCTAAATAACTGAGGATCGAACCTGGGACCTCATAGGTGAAATGCATGCGTAATACTGACTTCACCACCGGGTAGCCGAACGGGGACTACTGCTAAACTGAATTGGCTTCGGTACTGGCAACAAGGGTGCAAGCAGTGTTTATAGGCAAAACGAAAAATCGGTCAGATCAGCTTCTCAGTGGTCAAATGGGCTGTACGCTTACGTTCGACTTGTGATGCCCGTGATTTCGATTCTCAATTATGTCGATGCTTTCTCACGCCCGAAGCAGATTGAAACTGTTGTCCAGTGCCTCATAATATTTGAATTCACGCTTCATTAGATCTGTGCGCGACGAAATTTTCTGTGCAATCGAATTTAATCATCCACTGATCTCGTGTTCCCTTTGTTTATCAATAACTTATACGCCGAATTATCTAAAGATTGAAAGCGATGTATCGAACGAGTGTCCTATGTAACCAAATTGTGGGGAATTTCATGGTGATGGAAGAATTCAAGAACACAAAATGTGTTTTAATGATTGCACAGAGATATACATTACTTAACCAATACTGGTACTTAAAATTAAACGCTAAGCATCTGTGTGGTGAAAACTACTTGTTGAAATTGTGAGAATAGTAGATGTATAGTATTGTTTACATTATTCCTGGATTTAATTACCTTAGTATATAGTAGAAGCGGATTCCGGTTACATTTTACACTGTCGTGAATATGATCCCAGTTGTGAAATACAAGTTCGCAAGAACAGTCGTGCTTTGTTATTCGATTGTCCCCAAGACGATCGGAAAATTTGTTATCCGTTTGTTTCACTCACATCAGCACAAGCATTGTTACGTAAGCGCAGAAATTATTCTGTAAACTGGGTAACACACTTCAGCAGGAGAACTTTGAAGCTGGGGTGAGGTTATGAAACGTTTTTTGATTACCCGTTGTCAGTCTACGTTTTAATCTAAGAAACACGTTATCCACTTAACAATTCCAAGTGGAGTTGCACATTCAGACCTGCGTCAAGCACCTTTACTGCCTATCAAAACTGAAACAAAATAGCGCTCTAGCATGTATATATATATTTTAGCTTGTAATTGTCTCTTCTTTTCCCGTTCACTTGTGCAGATACATCTCTGTGACAAAGTGTGCGAGCATGATATTTCACGTCAACTCAGTACAGTTGTGGAAAAAATGGTTTCCACGTAGCACAGCTCCATCGTAATCCAATACAATGGGGTAGCACTTGGTGTGCATGGATCTCTGCATGTACACTTGCATCAGTTAACGCAGTTAACGCAATGAAAAGACAAATGCGAATAGTCATAAAAATGGGCAGTATACCACTTCCCAACTGAATCCTATTTTTACATTCAGATTTATGTTAGAGGCTGAAATGATGACCCTTTGGTGTAATCTAGCGTCTCCTTGGGAATTTCCTTTGACTAAATCAAATTTTTCATGTGATCAAAAGAGGATTTGATTCAATTTCAACGGTGCGTTCGTCGTATATATAGCTGATTAGCTATTCAGCTGCCCTGTGGACCAGTGGCTAGCATTCTTGCATTCTACCTGTGAGTTCCCGGGTCCGATCGCGGTTGGGTCGATGAACTCGTACTGCTGATGAGATCCAACCAGACAGGAACAGTTGTTCAGTGCTTCCTGGCCTTTCAGTTCAAGGGCCATTTGCAATACAGTCGACAAACACACCTTTGAAATTGAATCAAAGGTGTACTTGAATGGTCAGCACACGAAAATCCCTTTTTCTGGGCGACTCTAGTCAGCACTCGCATCTGTTTTAAGCAAGTGTTGTACCGGAACGGGGGATAAAAAATAATCTCGGTTTGTAATACCGTTATCATCAATAGAAAATCAAGCAAGAAATACGTTTATTGGGCATGTGGAAGAAACTAGATGAACAACGCTTATTCCTCGGAAAATGCCAATTTTATAACTATGAGATTTTGGTTTAGATCCAAAAATTCATATAAGCAAAGACCAACGAAGCAAAGTGGAGTTTCCCTTAATTTACAAAATTTACAGATGGGTATCTTTATATACGCCTCGGAGGCGAAGTTTAAATTCCATGGGTTTCTTTCCGGTATTCTACGTATCTGGCGCTAGTACAAGTCTCCATTTGGAGCGTCAATTCTGACCTGGTGTACTTTTGCTTCGTTTGGTCTTTACCCTTCATCCGTTGATCAACTGGGGGCCTTCGAGGCGGACGCGCGCATCAACAGCCACAAACCGGAAACTGAGTCTATAGTCTTACCGAGGTATGAGAACATCATCTACATGACGTTCAAACACGTTAAAATACTGGTATGTAGTCGTGGAGTCTGCATAATAGGCAGAAATAGTTACTTCTAACCTGAGAAATCAGTGACGTTGTGTTAGACAGTTTTGCTGTCGGCCGGTTCAATACCCTACGAAACCTACTCGCCCTGTATGTGGCTCGTCACTCCGAGTCCCGGGTGTTAGGTTATCGGTTTCCACAACTGAATAGCAGATCCTCGTAACTACGGAGTTTACCCATCTGCTGCTCATCACACTAAGGTATGTAATAAAGAACAGTCTATATTCTCAGTTCGGACAATGAACTACTACCAATCAAACATGAGTGACGATGAGAAATATTTCCATTCAACGTTTTTCATAACTGGTAATTTGGCGATAACCTATCATACGAAAAACCCATCTCATGGTGCCAATGAAACGTCAAAGACCGTTTTACCATATGAAGTATCTTCTTAAGCGATGTCAAAATTATTTTCAATGCTGCTGAAGGTTAAACTGAAACGGTTTTAGCGGACTGATTTAAAGTTGAGGATCTCATTATCCGATTTTTGAAAAATATCATGAACAGTCACCTTAATAACGAAATCGTTGTTCCAAATCACAACATGCATTAAGTCTCGGTTGGATTCATATTTTCATTTCGCACAACTGCTAGGTCTTATAAATCGAATTGAAAAGATCATTACAACCGGACTGTGATGCCTGTTCATTTTCCTGTTTTTCGTTTCATTTAAATCTTCTTTATTTTTACTGCATCTTTAAAAGGATCACTGCAATTCTCAACAGCTATGCTAAATTTCTTCTGATTTACTCAGTGGGTGTCAAGCGAAATTTTATTTTTATTTGTTTCGGCTATCCAAATCTATTTCATTCTACTACATTTCCCAAACAACGAAATTATCTCCAAACTAATTATTATTTTTCCGATTGGACACGGAGAATGGAGGCGAGTGTATTCGTGTAAACAACTGCGAACTGCAACGACAGGAAGTCTGCTCAACGGACACGATGATAATCACATGACCTAGTCCATCGATTTGGAAGAGAACAAGCTCATTTACCTGAGATGGATCAATGAACCTCATATTTTGACCAATCAGGTTCAAGAAAACAGTCATGCCAGACATGAGAGATTATGCGCGCTGGTTAAAAATAAGGCAGACGTACAGAATTGCGTGGGTGGTGCCTATAATTATTTTTCTGAAAATAGAAACTGTAAAAAGTCTATAGACTCAATTCTATTCCAAAAAGCACGTTTATTCCCAAGCTTATCGATTTGATTGTACTCTGATTTAAGTACTGGACTGAAATGAGCTTTTTGATTTCTTCCCAACTAACTACCACTGCGACCAAAAAAATGGTGACGTAAATATGTTTTAAAAATAGAATCTAAAAAAACTCATTATTTTGCACTCAGATCTCAATAGTTTGGTTCCGTTGGTTTCAAGTTATTGCGTCACCTACCCCCGACGATTGTGGCGTTCCTATTTTATTGCAACAGATAAACCGTTGAATGCGCTTATCATTTACATCCTTTTGATGATCGGTACCGAATACGTTTTAAATCAAGCAGTTGCATTGTTTTTACTCAAGCTTTGAGATATC